GGGGGGGGGGGGGGGACAGGTAAGTAAAACCCACTTGGGGAAAGGCATGAAGGGCGAGAGGGGTATTTAGTGACACTTGTCTCTGGGTTTTATTTGTTCTGAAGCATTGCTGAAGTAAGTTTTCTACTGTGACCATGTCACTCGTTTTAAATGTCAGATCTCTGCCTTTGCATGAGACACCAATTCCTCTGCGCCGTATTAAATTAGCTGCAGCCTTTGGGGGGGGGGGGGGGGGGGGGGGCCCCGCGGGCGGGGGCGGGGAGGCGGGGGGGGGATGGCACCGTGCCCACCCCGCTGCTCCCGGGAGGGTCCTTGTCACCGTCATGCTTGTCACCGATCGCCCCCCCGCCCTGGGCCGGGCGCCGGTGCCACCGCGGACGGCTCCTGGGGTCACCGTTACTGTCCCCGGTGTCACCGTCCCCAGTGTCCCCATCAGCGGGTGGCACCTGGGGGGCCTGGGGTCACCGTTACCATCCCCAGTGTCACCGTCCCTGTTAGTGGGAGGCTCCTGGGGGCTCTGGGGTCACTGTCCTCGGTGTCACTGTCCCCATCAGCAGGTGGCACCTGGGGAGTCTGGGGTCACCATCACTGTCCCTGGTGTCACTGTCCCCAGTGTCCCCATTAGTGGGTGGCACCTGGGGGGCTCCTGGGGTCACCGTTACTGTCCCCAGTGTCACCATCCCCATTAGCGGGTGGCTCCTGGAGGGCCTGGGGTCACCATCACTGTCCCTGGTGTCACTGTCCCCAGTGTCCCCCTTAGTGGGAGGCTCCTGAGGGCTCCTGGGGACACCGTTACTGGCCCCAATGTCACCGTCCCCACTAGCAGGTGGCTCTTAGGGGCTCTAGGGTCACCGTTACCGTCCCCGGTGTCACCGTCCCCGTTAGTGGGAGGCTCCTGGAGGGTCTGCGGTCACCGTCACTGTCCCCCGTGTCCCCGTCCCCGTTAGCGGGAGGCTCCTGAGGGCTCTGGGGTCACCGTTCCCGGCCCCGGTGTCCCCGGCCCCGCTGCCTCCTCCGCTCGCTGGGCCCAGCCCCC